GTACTTAGTCTAAATCGTAAGATTTCATGATGTAGTTGTATCTCTATTTTTGCGCTGCATATTTACTTTGGGACTACGGAACGGTATTCCGGGAGATCCCTCTGTACTGCATATTTACTTTGGGACTACGGAACGGTATTCCGGGAGATTCCCTTGTACTGCATATTTACTTTGGGACTACAGAACTGTATTCCGGGAGATCCTCTTGTACTGCATATTTACTTTTGGACTACGGAACAGTTTTCCGGGAGATCCCCATGTCTTGCATATTTACTTTGGGACTATGGAACGGTATTCCGGGAGATCTCCCCCTGCAAATTTATGTTTGGGACTACGAGACAGTATCTCGGGAGATCCCCTGTTGTTATCTCTGTGTATTGAGCTGTTACCTTCTATGAAGTCTTTCTTGATAAATTTCAGTCTTAATTTTACTACGATATTTCATTTTTGCCTTGATTTATTATCATATTCCAGTAGGGCCCGGACCTGACCTCGTCATTACTCTACCGAGGTTAGGCTTGGCACTTACTGGGTACCGATTGTGGTGTACTCATGCAACTCTTCTGCACATATTTTTCATATGCAGATCCAGGTGCTCCTTATCAACCGCACTATCAGTGAGCCGGGACAACTTTGGAGACTTTAAGGTATATCTGCCGCATCCGCAGACCTCGGAGTCCCCTTCTACTCTTCCCAATGCCCATTATCTTCTGTATTTTCTTTTGATAGATTGTGATGTATAGAGATACTAGATTTTCTTTTTGTAGTTTGTGATTCACGATGTTTCGTGTTTTGGAATTGCTGTGTATTGTTGAACAGTTAGTTGTTAAAAGTTTTGTTTTTTCATTTAATATGATGTTAGGCTTACCTAGTCGTAGAGACTAGGTGCCGTCACGATGTCATATGGAGGGAAAATTTATGTCGTGACAGCTTGTAGCTGGAGTGTTCTTATGAAATCCACCCCTCCCAAGTCTGGGACAATCTCTCATGATGTGCCTAGTATCACCACACTCATAACAACCCCTCTGAGGTCGCGGCTGCTCGTACTGAGTCTGTGCCGGATAAGTGGAATAACCACTGTAAGAATCTCGTGCCGGTGGTGCACTATAAACTGGAGCACCCCGAGTAATCTGATATGCGAAATGAGCTGACCGAGTGCTCGAGCCTCCGCTATAATGGGTCCTAGCTGAAGAGAAAAATTCACTGAACCCTCCAGATCTTCGAGACCTTTGGCCTCCTTAGACTCTCTTTCCTAGCTTAAAACACCCTCAATCTTCCTTGCAATCTCCACTACTTATTGAAATGGAGTATCAGTTTGCAACTCCTGAGCCATGTATATTTTAATATTATAATCGATCCCCTCAATGAATCTGTGAACCCATTCTCTGATTGTAGGAAATAAGATAGGTACATGACGGGCTAACTCACTGAACCTGATAGCGTATTCTGACACTGTCATAGTGCCCTGACGCAATCGTTCAAACTCTATGCACCACGCATCTCGGAGAGTCTGGGGAACAAATGCTTTCAAGAACATTTCCGAAAACCGAGCCCAAGTTGGTGGTGTTGCATCGGTTGGTCTATCTTCTTCATAGATTTGTTACCACCGATATGCTGCGCCTGACATTTGAAATACAGTAAAGGCAACTCCGCTCACTTCCACAATACCCATGGTGCGTAGGAACAAAGTGAAATCATCACGTTAGTGTTAGGGCATTTAACATAAGATATTCTCACATTATGTGCAATGCACCTAGTCACAATTAACGGTTTTAAAATGACTTTGAGGGTATGAAGGTCATAGGGCATCATACCAATTTGCTTGTTCTAGCCTCCCTCTTTGGATTTCTCTTTAACGCTCCTTGGCTTACATCTTTTCCTTCCCACTCTTTTCTTCCTGCTTATCATTCTTTCCTTTCCTATCATTTCTCACATCTCACATCCCAATATTCATCTTTTCGTTTTTCTTTTTTCCTTTTTTTTAATTTTAAAAATAATTCGATCGAACCTGATGTAGGTTGCCTACGTATCATTTTCCACATGAATCACACCAAGCGTAATTCCGAAAATGTGGTGGACAGAATAAACTAAAAATAAAATCTTTTTGGATTTTCATTTATACCTTTTTTTTCAAATACAAAATGGGAAATACGATGACAAAAAAAAACTCGACAGACTCAGCTAGACTATGAAAGACTTTAACACCACCTAAAAGACTCAATACTACTGAACAAGATGAGAAAGTAAAAGAAAACATGAAAATAGACTCAATATAAAAGTATCCTCAAGCAACTCGTGTATGCAACGGTCTTGACTAGAATGGTCCTGGGGTATCTGTCGTGCTCGAGCTCTGATAAATGGATCCGAGAAATATATTTAGTGACTCAAGATACTATACGACGCCACAACACCTCCTATTGGACACATGCAAGATATGATTGGGCTATTTTTACAAAATGACCTACGTGGCCAAGGGTGGCTATTAGTGCAAACTCAACAAAGGTGACCTATAAGACATGAAAATACCTAATGAAGGCCTATATGTCCTTAAACTTCAAGGAATCATAATCCCCAGGATTACTTTGCAAAATGACCCCTTTAGAGAAAATGCCAATGTGGCCAAAAATGGCTGAACATGCAAATTCAACAGGAATGGACCTTAAACTAAGAGGACATCTTGTTGTGGACTTAGGACTCTAAAACATGAGTTAACAAGCCACTTTTACAAAAATATCCTTATTTTGCAAAGACGACCGATGTGGCCAAATGTGGCCAAACATGCAAGATTTGGCTACGACCCTCGAAGCCAAGAACTTAAGACTCGTTAGGAAGACCGGACGTTATGTGGGCTGCCTACGTATCCCGCCCCGAAAGACGAGAATCAGGTATGCGTAGTTCGGGAGGACTGGATATGGGAGAAAGCTTTGAAATATGCAACTAATTTGGAAAACTTTTTTTTGCCTTTTTTTGAAAATGATAAAAAAAGTGTAAAATCTTTTTGTTTTTTTTCTTTTAAAAAACGGGGCAAGAAACTAAAAAGTGACAAAACCCTCAATATTCTCTCTTGCTTCATTTTTCACCCTTCTTTTCCAAACATCAATCCGCCAAATGACCTTTCTACCATCAAAGATGCAACATTTAGCACATAGGATGATTGAATGTCCTTTTGGGCCGGCGGGCCCATTTGACATAATTTGGACAGGCTTCCTACAAAGGACACGGTACCTAGGACCAGGACCTGCTAGGTCATAATGATATGATGCAAATAAGAATAACCTAAAGGCTAACCTACGTTTGGGGTTCACTAACAAGGCAATTTGAAAATGAACAATGGGCCGAATAACTCTCTTGAAATCCTAGCTTTGAAAACACTTCAATTCTCTCAACCCCCTCTAAAATCTGAAAAATGAGAATATATAGCTCTCCAGAAACTTCTCATACATTCCTCCCAAGAAAAATCTGAATTCTTCTCTAAAAACCCCAAAAATCTCCAAAATCCGAAATTCCTTATGAATGGACCGATTCTAGACAAGTGAAAACCTAGGATCAAAATATCTTGATCCTATGGCTCCCATTTTTTCAATATTTGTCCAACATAGAATAAGAAACGCGGTAATCACATAGAGGAGTATTCTTATGTAAGAGGTCATTAGACTACGTGGCAGAAAGAGACGAGGGGGACCACGTGGGGTGAGTGGGTGAGTTAACTCGCATGTTTTCGGCGAGTTTGTGTAGTGGGGGAGGCGGCAGTGGGGTGTGAAGAAGAGGGTGCGGCTGGTTTGGTCTATTAGGGTTAGGGTTTTGGGTGTTAATTTGATTTTTATGTGGTAGTGGAGAGAGAGTATTGGCTATTGGATTGGAAGAAGATAAAGGGCTAGGATTAAATTATTAAGTGAGATGCCTCATATGGGTTATGGGTTATGGGTCTTGGGCATGGGTCATGGGGTTAAGGATGGTTGGGCTGCTCGAATTAGGGCTCAGATTTAGCCTATTTTGGGCTAAGAAAGCTGAAAGTTCAAAACTAAACCCAATTGTCTAAAAATACATATAATAAAATTAAATCTAAAACTTAAAAGTGCAACTATTTTTGGTATTTTTTTAAAAGGTTATACTAGAATAAAAAGTAGAGAAAAATATGTTGAAGTCATGGTAGAATAAAAATACTATTACTATAAATATACTAATTGACCTTAAACTAAAAATGAAAATATAGTAAGGTGAGAAACATGATAAATAAAACTATTTTGTATTTTTTAATTTATGTCTTAAGATTATAACTAAAATAGACTAAAATTATATTATAATAAACTCAAGTGAATATTTTAAAAATATTAAAATAATAAAACTAACTCTAAAATTTGTGCGGGTCAAAAATTACGTGCTTACACATAGATATCATATTTTTCTAAAAATGGAGGAAAATGACTTCCCTAGAAAAAGTTAGGAAAATATTTTCCTAAAATCTCACCTACCCTCACATCCAACACCAACCCTCTCTCCCTTCTCTCCCCTACCCCCACCTCTCCCAACCCCTCTCTCCAATTTTTTTAGTTCTGGTTTTTTTTTTTTCAGTTTACAGGTTCGAAATTTTACGTGTTCCAAAGTTATGAGTTCAGAGGTTTATATGTTTGGAAGTTTGGGGGTTTAAAAATTATAGAGTTTACGGGTTCGAAAATTTATAAAATTGGTGGGTTTGGAAGGTTGTTGGTTCGAAAGTTTATGGCTTCATGTTTATTGTATCTAAATTATCTATGAATATTTTTGAGAAATTATTTTCCTTAATTTGCGTACCAAACACCAAAAAATGAGTAGTATTACTAATTGTTTTCAAGAAAATATTTTTTGTTATACCAAACACACCCTAAATCATCTTATTTGTGCAAATCATCCAAAATACATGGGCATGGATCTCATCGGGCCGAGTCAGGCCCAACAAGCTAATATTACAAATGGACTGCAAATACGGACCCAAAGTCGCGACTTATATTCGGCCCCAATTTCAAATTGTATTTCGGCCGCGAAGTTGACGCCTCCCCCCTCGGCGGCGAGGTTCCGACGAAACTCTTCACAAATCTTTTCTCCGGCGAAATCGAGTTGTAAATTCCCTCTTCCATTCCCAAATTTGACTAAAACCATAATTCACATTCCTATTTTCTGGATTTTTATTTGAGTTCTTATTGCTTATTATAAAAGATTAAATAATTATCTTATGTTGTGAATTTCAGCCATAAATGTGAATTTATTTACCAAATAGTTCTAATTATTCAAGCAGCCAAATTCTAATTATTAATTTAAGCATAGTTATTTGATTCTCTGATGTTAAAGAGTTGAAGTTAGTTGTAAAAGTAAAGGAAAATTTGTTTCTTACGAAGAAATTAGGGTTCTTAAGGGAATGGCGAAGCGAGTAATTTGTAAGGGGAATACAAAAAATAATATAATGTCAAGTATGGAATTTGAACGTGTGATCTAAAGCAATTTTTGAACCCTATGTCACTTGACTATACCTTTTCCTAATATCAAGGAATTCAACAGCTTATATGTAACCAACAAACTGTTTTTCCTATTTTCATAGTATAAATTTTTGACAAAGGAATTCAACTGAATTCGCTTTCCTCCACTTAGCTCCACCACTGCTTAAAGGGAAAAATGATGAACTAAGCAAAAGTAGGAAAAGCAATGAAGACTAATTTGGGGAATACTCCAAGAAAAAAGCTTGGTGATATCAGCAACTTACCGCTGCAAAAGATATTCACTAGCCAAGATAAGAAGCCAGAACATATCCTAACTGCTTCTAAAGAGTATATAGAAATGATCCAGAAGGTACACTTTTTTGTGTTTGTTTAGTGCTTTATTGTGTTAATAAATGTATGGACTTAGCTTAATTTGCTTCATGGGGAATTTGACCCAGGAAAATCTGGTGTTGATGAAAATGTTAGCAGAAAGAAAGTATCCTTTTATTGGCAGATGAATGACATTTAGTTTTTTTTTCTTTTGTGAAATTTGTAGGTTGCCTTTTGTGCTTTGTAGTAGTACTCATGCCTTATACTTGTGATTAGTTGCATTGTTCCTTGATTCTTGTTCTCTATAGCAAAATCATTGAAATTACTGGAGTAGATATAGAGAAACTGAGAACTAATGTGCAGAAATTGCAGCAACAAAATCAGCAGCATGCTCAAGCAAACAATAAAATGCTTGCGGTTTGTTTTCTCTTCCAGTTTCCAACCCCTTCAGAGTTTTGTTTCGTTAACTGAACATTTGATTTCCTTTCATGGTGCTAAAACTATTTGGTTTTCTTTTTTCTTTCCCCTCAGGAACTAAATTCAAATAAAGATAGGGTAAGCAATCTGATGCTTTCACCTGATATTCTTTTAAGGTTAGATTTCTCCATAAGCTGATGTTAGTGATATTTGGCTGATATCAGCTAAAAACATTACAACATGAGTTTGGATGCACAAAGAGTTTACTTAAGGCTAGAAAGTCTGAAGCAGAGGTGAATACAGTTTAAAGTTGTTCAAATTATTTTGGCTTAGAAATATGTCATTTCTTTTTTACCAAGGATGTTTTCTTCGTTAATCAGGAGCAACCAAGAACAAATATGTGCCAAAATCTGAATGATGAGGTACATAAGCAAATTTTCATAATGCAGTAATGTCGTAGAGTTGGTATTAATTTATTGTTTTGCTGTCACCATTCGAAGGTGAAATCCATGAAGTGTGAGGAGACAGGAGATTTACTGTTAGGAAATGGAGATGATGAGAAAGCTATAAATCTTAAAAGAAGGCCTTGGTCGAAGAGTGAGTGTAACCTCTAGTTTGATCTGATATTTGTTGTCAATAAGTACTTAGGAACTATTATTTTATATTATTTTCCCACCTCTGACGCATAGGTGTGGGCTCTTCTGAGCAAGTTCAATATGAGGATAAGGCGGGAAACAAAAGGTTAGGTTGTGCGTGTTAACCTGAAGAATATATTGTTGGTTTCTGTAATGTTCAGATTCTAAATATTGGTAAGAGAATTCTCCTAGCGATTTTGTTGTCTTTGCAGACCTTGTATAAGGAGGCAATCTGCTCGGCTTAATACTAAGGCACTGAAACTCAAATGAAGATTCTTTTGATGTACAAGACAAATGTGCTTTGCACCCTCCAACAAGTGATCCAGTGCTAGAAAATGGTTTGAACTCCATTAGCATATCATCTGATGGTCTAGAGTGCAATCCTTTATTGAGGTTTGAACCTGTACATTTTGGACTATCATCTCTGCGTAGGCCATCAAGGGAGGCAGCTAAGAAAATCCAGTCATACAAGAAAATTTCTGTGAACATAAAAATATAAAAACCACAATGAACAACGTGCTCAGTGTAATAACCTCTTCGATATCTGAGCAAGTGCTGAATGGTAAGATTCTTCTTTGTATCTTTTTGTCAGGTTCAGTGTCATAGTTTTTTTGTTGAAATCTGTAGCTCTAATTCCATATCCGCTACTTCAAAGTTCTATTCCCTCTCCTCCAAAAATGCCATGGCCTATCTGTCTCCAGATAAAATGTTCTTTATAAAAATGTTGCCTGCTGTACAATACTGATTAGATGCTTCTTTTATGGTGATTGATGATGAAATGCTTTTGGACCGATGACTGTGTCTGGCATACTTGCCATAGAAACCTAAATGGTACTTATACTCAGTGGCGGAGCCAGAAATTGATGCAATGGGATTAAAAGAAAATACTAGAATGACATAATTGGGTTCGAAACTTGTAACCTAAAGCAGCTTTTCAACATTTTATATATAACCAAAAACTTTTATTTTTAACCTTTTTGCTAAGTATAATTTCCCGCCAAGGGGATTTAATTGAACCTCCCTTCTTTCTTAGTAGTTCCGCCCCTGCTTTCATTGTCCATATCTTGGCTTAATAGAGGGAGTCTCTTTCTAATTTTATCTGCTCCTAGAGTATAGAGATTAAGAATTCAACATAGAAAGGAAGTTGAAAGTTTCTCTGGTAATTTAGATGATGATTTTGTTGAGATTAAAGGCCAACAAATCAAGCAAATATGTACTACATGAATAATTAAGTTTAATGGTACCTTGTAAAAAAATATTTTAAAAAAAAGTTAGTATAAGCATCTGCTTCCTTGGTCCATTTCATGCTACTAGGTTCGATTTTGAAGGTTGAATTTCATGATTTTACCATTGAACTATTGTTTTAGGTATTCTGGAATATATCAATCACTATGAAAGATATAACATATCATGTAGTAGGTTATATTTTATGTTGTCCTTTTTTTTTCCAGAACTCCAATCCATTTGCCTTGTAAAATTAGTTAATTGGACATCGGAAGTCATACAACAAAGAAAATGATATATCTAAACCACATTTTTTGGGTTGATAAGTTGATCTTTCTCTTTATCTTTTTTCTGAAGCTAGTACCAAAAAGAAATTGAGCAAAAGCATCGTCCACCTTTTTTTTTGGTAATTAAGCATTGTCCACCTATTAATATTATGTTGAGTAGTAAATGTTTCCTCACTAAAGAGTATCTCGACTTTTACCATTTGGTTATGTAAAATATCAACAACTCCGGACAACAACAATAACAACAACAACAACAATAACCCAATAAATTTCTGCAGGTGGGGTATAGGGAGGGTAGGATGTATACTGCCTTGCTAACAACGCTGGACAAAAGGGTGAAAATCATGATTTTCTTAACTCAACTTTATTTGTTTTGGAAATCAATAAGCAAAGTCAGCTAGAATTGAAGCCAATGATACCACAATAAGGTTTAAAATGGGCTGAGATCTGCGACGTACCAAACAAAATCTACAAGAAGTTTGGCCTAGGAAAACAAATCTTGGCAGATTTATTAGAGTAGTTGAGATAAAACTTAATCAAATTGTGCAAGTGAGTTTATAATCTTTGTCATCTTAATTGTGTCTATACAGTGGCATTTGGACCATTTTCTTAAAACGACTTTGGAGAAAAAAATTACTCGTATTTTTTTCAAATCGATTTGAAAATGCTTTGCTTGAGCCGAAGGTCTATCGGAAACAGTCTTTCTATCTCTCACAAGATAGGGGTACAGTCTGCGTTCACCCCACCTTCCCCAGATTTTACTTGTGGGATTTCACCGGATATATTATTTTTGACTTTGGAGAAATTTTATAAGAATATCTTTTGATATATTTCTAAATTTTAGTATGATTATTTATCGGTAAGAATGTAGCAAACCAATTATTCAATACTTCTATTGCTTCAACCTCAAAAGAAAATTACAACTCAACTCAAAACTATTACAGGAATTAGAGATGCTAAACAGAAATACAAATGATAGAGAAGAAAGGATTAGAAGCTCACACTAAGAATGGGGATGAGAGGATACAGACACTCGAGAAGGAAGATGAGGAGAAGCAGACATTTTACCCAACAATATGCATAATTCCTGAAGCCTTAGTCCACTCTCCTTTTAAACATTTGTCACGTCTCTCCCTACTCCACCTGGATCCCAAATGGATCTCTTGTTGGGTTGTCTTGTCCTTGGGCTTCTATGTGGTCTAGCCCTTGGCCCAACAGCTTGGCCAACCTTTCAAATAACTGGCCCACAAGTATTATCTAAATTATTCTTGTTCACAACAATACTCCCCCTGAATTGAGAACCTTGCCTTCAAGGTTCTGCAATAGCACATTCTGTTGGTTAGGCTAGTTATTGCAACACTTGAGCGTAGATATGCGAGAAATAGGATATATTCGTTCATCTTCGAAAAGTTCAAATTTAAAGGCAACAACCCAAATATGCTGAAGCACTTTAAAAGGACCAAAGTAGTGCCTTCCCAATTGATGATATTGTTGTAATCTCACAAAGTGCTGCCAATAAATAGGAAGTTTGACAAAAATACAATCACCAACTACAAAGTGACCTTCAACTATACTCGCATGCACGTCAAGCACCAGATGTGCTAGCTTAGCGGATAGATAAGGCAATATTACTCCTAGAATGCCAGCATAATAAGAGACAAGTGGATTACTTTCACGTTTAATAAATTCAGCCATCTTCGTCGAACAGTCTGTGAGTACCGTTAATTTGTGTTGTTGTTGAAATGCTCTGATTACTACAGTCAAGATCAGTAAACTAAAGAATATCAGTGCACAATTATAAAGTTCTTCTTCTGCCACTTCACAAACTACATGCTATTGATCCACAAAGTAACCAATTAGGTCCACATAGTTGAAAATTAATTGCAACAATGACCACAGTGATTGCACAATTGCAGTAAGACTTATGGCAAGATGTGGCTTTCTCCCATGTTGCAATATTGTCATCATATTGGATTTCTTTGACCGCATCCATAAACTGCACAAATATTTTGCGACCTCCGCTTGTAAGAATTGAACTGATAGCACTCGTGCAGGTCCTGCCTCATCGAAAACATTCCAAAAAGTATTTCAAAGATTAAAATCCTCTATAAAATAGTGCAAGGAACATTTGTAATGTGGACAGGTTTGTGGATAAAACACTTTCGTTCTAGTACGAGAGAAATTCATTAACACAACTTGGCTGCTAGAGAGTGACGAACAGGAAGAAAATGAATATTCCTCACTCATTGGGCCAAACAATAGTGATGTAAGCAGCTTCAGTTGCAATGTATCTGAAACATCTTTTTTCAATGCAAAATCAGATAGCAAAATAGAAGAATGCATACACCATTTCCGTCCAGGATCCCACACTTGAGTCATAGAGCTAGAATCCACATACTCTAGATGACTTTTTAGAGTTAAGATCTCGGAGTTTATCCTTGGTGCCATGATAATGTGCTTCCCAAGATAGCTCAACTCAATTTCAAGCTCATTTATAGGTTGGTTGATAAGAGTCTGAAGACTTAGAACTCGAGACCTAATAATAAACTCCAAATAATTCGATAGAACTTTCCCTAGATGTTCTGAATCCATCCTATGAGTAAGATTTTGTAACATTGGGCAAAAATCTGCTGGAACCATTTTCTCTTTGATATTTGTAGCTCCCTTGAATAGGCTAGTAGCAAATAGCTTTTGTTGAACCACATTCTTTGAGCCTTTAACTTGCACATTGCCATCTATATAAACGGACGTCAGAGGAAGTTTGAAATCATTATATATGGAGTAGAAATAAAAATACCTCTTTACTTGTAAAACCCAATTCAAAGATTTTTCATCGTTGAAACAACTTAGTACAACGTGATGACCCTGTACCATCAGAGCTTGAGATAAGTCAACCATGGTAGATGGAGTCGATATGAAGAGTCCAACACGAACAGATAATGAGTGTACCAAATTCAAATCTATAGCCAACATTTTATAGGGTAAAGTAATATGGCGATACGGTATTATGCAACCAAAAACAACAAGCCGAAAATGACATAGTGATGGTTGCTTAATTATTAACGTGAACACTTCATCCCACACTGGTTCTTCATATCCAACAAATAAAATTTCATCAGAAACATACCTCGCAATATCTGAAACCTCATTAGCCAGCATAAAATTCTTATAAAAAAAATTCCACACACATGGATTCCTGTGAATGTGAAGCGGTATGATATTTTCAAATGGATGTGTGACTTCAGCAATGCTCGCAATCTCATTTGGCACTACATCCTCTCTACTAATCAAAGGTACCAGAAAATTAGTTGTGTTCATTTCAACTTCATTATCGCAAGCAATTGCCGCATCAGTTGGAGAGACATAGTTCTTGTCAACGGTTCATCTGGGATGTCCATCAGGCACCTTGTCTTCCTCAGAATCGCCATCTTCTAAATCAGATTTATCAGCGAGTACCATGGAGCAGCAATTATGAAATATTTTGTCGAACACCTGCCCTTCTTATGAGAATTCTACCTTCTTAGTCATCAATTCATTACCAACTCGTAACTCTGTAAGAATTTCAACCTCAATATGACTTCTATCAGCGATACCGTACATGGAATCGACATCGATATGCTTTTCTGGTAACGCACTAGGTTCAACATCCGCTTCATCATCTTGTAAGGTACTAGTTGCCGTATCCGCTATTTCCTCGAGCACCTCATATGCCAAGTTAAGGTTGTTATTGTCTAAGTGTTTATTCCACTACTGAGGCGAGGGTGAGGTGCTAATCTTGCACCACGATGGAATAGCCGCAACTCGTGCTAGAAAATATTCCTCTAGCTTTCGCTGCTGGTGAACGGCTAAGCACCCACCAGATGCTTCTCTAGTTCGAGTGCGAAAACGCAGCTTCAGTTTCTCCTTAAAATAATTTCAATCAAAAAATTACTTATTTCGAAACAACCAATCAAACCAAGAAAGAGCTTCACCGTCAAGGTAGTGGTAAGGAAGAGGTAACCAGTCCTTCTCCGAGAAGCCAAGGTAGGTGAAGTACAACTCAGCCCGAAAAATCCAACCCTCTGGGTTT